GGGCTGTGGCGGCTGCCTCGCACTTGGGGGGTCACTACCACTAGACGGGCGCCCCGCGCGGCCTCTCCCAGGGCCTTGCTGAATCCTACCCTCTTCCCGGAGAGGGACCTGAGTTTGCCCCACGTTCCTTAAACCCGGATTTTATTTCACCCGCCGCACCCAGCCCTCAACTGGGAAGGGACCGGAGGTCTCCTGTATCCCCCAACCCAGTACCGGAGATCGAACTCCGGACCTTGGGCTTGCCAGGCAGGCGCAGTGCTGCTGAGCTACATCCCTGGCCCTCCTCGATCTTCCTTAAACTTTTTTCTCTCCACCTGACCTCTCACTCCTAGAAGCCCCGTCCATTATGATCCCTTGTTTCCCAATTCAAAATCTTTTTTCACTTTTTCTCCTCCCCACGGAGCTGCCCCAGGTCCCGGCACCGGGGAGCCTCCCACATTCGTTCTTCCCGGGACTTTGAGTAGGTTTGGTAAAGGCCACAGCCCCGCCTCCCCCCAGGACACGGTTTCCGGAGTCCCCACTCCCCACAGTGTGGCTGAAGGGTCCGGTGTATTTCTATTCCCTTCGGCCCCATTAAAGCTCCCCCGCTCCCCCCGCTGCCTCCTCTCTGATTCTTTGCTGCTCTAGACCCTTCTTCAAGGGGAACGGAGGGAGAGCAGAAAGGTTGCCAAGGAGGAAGTCCAGCGAAGGCAGAGCAGGGCTGGCCAGAGCGGGGAGCCCCCGACGTGCGCCCTCCACCGCCCACTCCCCCGTCCCACCCCTCGCGTACCTCACCCCACCAGCTCGCATCTCACCACCCTGCCCCCCGCGCCTCATCTCCTCCCGCCTCTGTTCCGCTTCCACCTTCCATTTCTCCCTCTTCCCCGCCCGCCCTCTCTATTTATCCAATTCGTTCTTCCACCCTCTGTCTCACTCACGCCCGCCCGCTGCCCCGGGTGGCTGTGGCCGCCTGGTCTCCGGATCTGCCCGCTCACTTTCTCCGGGATCTCCCTCCCACTCTTCCCGTACTCGGGGCTCCCGGCTGGGGCTTGCTACCGCACCTTCTTCTCGCGGCCCGTGCGCGCCCTCTGCTGGCGAGAGGAGGTTAGGTCGGGGCTACGCCTAGGCCTTGGAAGGCTTTAAACCTCACTGCGCACCGGCTTGGCTCAGAATTTCCTTTATACTTCACGGAGAAGGGCGAAAGGAGGACCTTGGCCTTTCATCCCAGATCCGGCCTTGGGAAGTCGAATGGATCATCCTGGCTGTGTCCTTTTCCTCACCATCTACGAGTGTGTCCGAATACTGCACCGGATGGAAACTGCCCTTTGCTCTTTTCTCTCCTTTTCTAGAAGTAGTTGGTTCAAAAGTAGCCTTAAACGCTTTCATTAAACAAAAACAAAAGCAGAAGACCTGAAGCGCTGGCCGGGCCTTCGAGTTACACCCCAAAACGAACCCGTGGTCCTATTCTGCTAAGCAAGGTCTAGGCTCTTCCCGGACCAGTGTGCAAGGAGGGGTGTGTGGCGGTTGGGGTGCCTCTGTGCCCCCGGGCAGGAAGGTGAAACGCAAGCGGAAGGCTGGAGAGTGGAAGAGGAGGTGGCCCTGCAATCTGCTTCCCAAAGAATGCTGGGGGTTTAGCCTGGTTCACTTTGGGAAAGAGCCTTTGTTCATGCTCATTTTTTTTCACTTTATTTCTTCTGATCTTCCAAATAACACAAACTCAGCGTTGAACACTTGAGAGACACACACATAAGGGCCCTGTTAACTATTGGGTGGACAAAGGGTGTAAGGAAGCTCCGGGTCACTTCTAGTCCCTCTGCACAGAGGCCATTACTGAAAACGGTCGCATCTCCTTTCTTTTCTCTAGGCCTTTCCAAACTGTGACGTTCTGCTTTCCTCACCTAATGTTCTAGTACTGGCATGTCCTTATGTCCACAAGGGCCCTCAGAGCAGGAGAAGGAGCCGGGGTAGGACACAGTAGATGGGCCAGGGAGAGATGGGCCTGCAGAGGGCTCAGTGACTTGCTTTGGAGAGAGGAAAGGGTTTTTTTTTGTTGGTACTAGACAGGGTGCCCAGTGCCCGGGGATTGAACTCAGGACCTCACACTTGCGAAGCAGGAAGCAGAACCACTGAGCTAAATCCCCAGCCCAAGGAAAGTTTTTGTTTGTTTGTTTGTTTGTTTGTTTGTTTCCAGTCCTGTTTGCAGGGAAGGAACATGCCAGAGGAGACACAGTTGGCATCCAGAAATGTCCTGCTAAGAAGTGCAGGCTGCACTCAACAAAGTGAAAGTTTCCTAGTAAGGAGCACAAGGCCCTGCACTTAGATCTTTAAATGAAGCAGCAGGCCTGTGTGCATCACAACAAGGATGGGGCTAGCAGAGTAGGTGTAGAGTAGTGATGTCTTAGGCAACGTGGGACGAAATGCAAAATAAATCATTGCCATCTGAGGATACATGGGTGGAGGTGTGGCACCCCAGGATAGAGGAAGGGCCGAACCTGCTTCAATAAATTTTACTCCAGCAATACTGTACACAGTGTTGGACTGCTACACAGGAGAAGAGCAAAGAGGAGACACTTAGGGTAGTGGACCAGGAAATAAAAAGAGAAAGAAGTCTGGAAAATCATGAATAGTGCGAGAGGTAGCCTGGAAATTCATCTGGGGAAAGAGGACTGGGAGCCATCTCCTTTATTCAAGGGCTGGCCTGAGGGAGGGGACCAGGGATTCACATGACTCAGGCAGTGCTGGGACACGTGGTTGGAAGCTACAGTAAGACAGGTGTCACCTGATCTGTCATGGGACATGTCTGGTGAGTGCTTGGTCACCAGAGTGTGCAGCAGACCCTTCCATGAGACGGTGAGAGGGGAGGTGCACTAGGTGACTTCTTCGACCTTGAAATTCTAGATGTCCCATAAATGAGTAGGCAAAGGGGGTATTTTGTGGTTTAGCAGCTGGGGAAGATGTTAGGTTAGGGGATCTTCTCATTTGTGAAACACACCCTATAATCTTACCCCTCTCTTCTTTCCTGCACACACAGCCAGTTTGGGAGAATAAGATATACATCTGGACACCAGAAAGCCTCAGTTCCAGTTGCAACTTGGCAACTAACTTGCCATGTGACCTTCAGAGAATTGCGTCTCTTTCCTGGAATTCCATTCTCATCTCACTAAAGGAGTGAAGCTGAGCCAGGGATTTTCAGGCTCTTCTGTGGGACCTCAGGGGTTACCTAGGTTCTCTCTGTTCAAAAAACAACCAATCAAAAACAAACAAACAAACAAACAAATTAGGGTTGGAAAACATCTCTCCAAGATCAAATCCAGGATTACCTCTTCTCCAGACCATCATAGTTCTGGCAGCTCCAGGTTTGCATGTTGTGTTCAAGCCCTGGATTACTGTGGTCCGGGGAAGACACCACTCTACCCACAACCTGAAACAGACATCCTCTTACCACACCTGTGTTCCTGATAATCCAAGCCAATCCTCACCAGTCCTTGGTCTTTCAAAGTATTGATCTCACTATTGCTTCCTCTCCCCATCTGGGGACCAACCCCACTTGCATTCTCTGAAGTGCTCAGCCTTTTCTCTAATGCCTCATTCATGTCTCTGCTGAAAGTAAGTCTCACTTGCTTTCCAGTCCCCAGCATGGGCTTGAACCACTGAAGTTACTGGGTGCCTTCATGCTTTTTGTGTCACTCACCGCACCCCCCACAAGGTTAGGGAGACAAACAGGACAAGTATGACTTTGTCTGCTTGGATGATAAATAAAACAAGGCCTGTGATGTTAAATAACCTGGCCAAAGTCTTAGGCCCCATTCTAGGACTGATGCCAACTGGTTCCTCTGCCACATCTTTCTCCATTCCTCTGCTTGAAATCTCTGTAGTCCCCAGTGGCCTTTGACTACCTTGTTTTTCCTGTGCAGGGTGATGTAGATCTATGTTCCCTCCAGAATCATGTGCTCTGTACACCTAAGCTCCCTTTGGCATCACTCAACGATGAACTCTGAAACCCTGTTAACATGCGGTGTGAGGTCCACACAGAGACTTGCATGGTCCCAGAGCAACCATGCCACTGAGTGCTCAGACTGACAGCACTTTCTCATTCATTAGCTCATGTGAATATTCCATGTGGGCTGCTGTGAAATACAGTGGATCCTTGACTTACAAACTCAATTGATTCCTGAGGGCTGGTTATAACTCAAGTCATTGAATTGAAGGCTCCAGACTCCTCTTCACAGCCCTCAAAGTCTCTCTCTTCCACACAGGCAGATCTCAGTGTCCTTAGAGAGACATTGGCCCAGAATATCGCAACCCCACACAGGAAAGGATGTTGTAATGTTCCTTCCAGAACTCTTTAAGGGTTAAGTCTGTATCTGAGACTGTTGGGGGTCTCTAAGGGAGAAGGACTTATTAAGAAATGAGAGACACAAAATAGCGAGGCATGGGGGGGGTGTCAATGCTTCGAGGAGCAAAGACCCAGATCTTTATTTGTTCCTCCTTTTATACCCTACACAGCGAGCTGCCACATGTCACTAGTCACAGGCTACATTAATCATTATAGAAGTTAAAACACTACAGAGGTTATACATGGCAATAGTGAATTTTGTTTCTGGAACCAAGCTATGGCAAGCATACATCTGAATAAACACACTCAGGGAGACATTCTTCCCTTATCGACAAGGAACAGGGAGAGCCTGGGACACTGCAAGTGCATGTCTGGAGATCACCTTTG